TCATGCTTATAATTGTGTGTGAATGTTGAGTCATGATGTCGAGTGTGTGTGTCGAGTCAATAGCGAGTTATCGCTAGACGCGTGTTACGCGGTCGTATGTGTCTCGCGCGCGGTTTCTATTTTGTCGTGCGCGGTTTCTATTTTGTCCTGTGTCGAACGTTCGGCGTGTCGCAGGTGTGTGCAGCAGACCCATCAAGAACTCAAGGATGAGTTTGTGATGAAGAGCCCGAGCCTTGGTGTCAAGCCTCAAGTGATTTCGAAGCTCGCCAAAAGGGTACACCTCAAGATATTGAAGATAGTTACATTACTTTGTGTAGTGTAACATTTCACTTGGTGTAGGCCCTAGTGAAGGGTAGTTTCGAGACCCTTCGTGGTTGGGGACAGTGTGGCACTGTTCCACATCACTGTACCTCGGCTCTTGGGGTTTGTAGGAGCTGGGAGTCATTCCCAACTCGTAACTCTTCCTATCTTGTGTTCTAAGACTATAGTGGCTGCCATAGTACCGATCGTTCAAACCGACGCTGTGTCGTCAATTCTTTATCAAATCGTGCAATCTAAATTGATAATTGTAGACGACGTGAAGACGCTCCAGATCCAATTTGAATCAAGTCATTTGCAGCTGTGAGCAGAACGCTATCAACGTTTGAAGCCGCTGTGCAGAAATCCGTCTGTGCTCTCTATCTTTCGTTTTAGGCACATTCAAGCCTATTGTGACTATAACAAGTGGTATCAGAGCCCCTTGGAGCAGTTTCGACAATGTCTGGACCTGAGGAAAGGGGTGGCAGAGGTGCTGGTGGCAGTGGAGAAGCTCAAGCTCAAGGCCAACCCCGTGATTCAGCCATGGCGCCCATGCAGCGGGGCAGGCCGACCGACCAGGGTGTGAACAAGTGCGATGCGAGCCAATGCTGGTTAAGCCATTCCTTTATAAGTAGCTTTTTTCGATGTCATAAAAATGGCATCAGAACAGGAAACACTTAGGTGCTTAACACCGCACATTCCTATTGAGACGCCTCAAAAGCCAAAGGGACGAACAGGAAACGCCCAACAGAAGCGCTTGATGTTTACATTGGGTGCTCCTATCCCTTACGTTCCCCGATTTGTGCTGCTGTGGTGGTCGCAGGGGCGGTAAATCTGTAGACTTCTCGTGTCTCCCCGCGCCCACCACCTCCCCTCCCCCTTCCCCCAAGCCATCCCCCAAGCCATCCCCCCAACCCTCTCCCAAGCCATCCCCAAAGCCCACCCCCCAGCCTTCCCCCAAGCCATCCCCCAAACCGTCCCCTCCGCCATCTCCTCCCGCGTGCAAGCCTGCTGCGTGCAAGGCATCAATCCTCCCTGGATTCAGCTCCTCAGTAGACCTCACTGGTAAAGGGTGAGTGTGTGTGTGGTGGGTGAGCCTGTGGTGAGTAAGAGAGTGTGTGTTTGTGTGAGTGTGTTGGGTGAGAGTGTGTTTGTGTGAGTGTGGTGAGTGAGTGTGACTAGACATATGCAAGCCAAGCCTCTGTGATTAAGGAATCGACTCATCCTGGCTTCACCACCACAGTGGTCCTCACGGGTAAAGGGCGAGTGCGGTTGCTGGTGGGTAGGTGTGCGATTGTGCTTGAGTGGCGGTGGGCGTGACTAGAAAAATGCAAGCCAAGCCCTCTGCGTGCAATTCTTTGTCCCTTCCCGGCTTTACCACTTCACTGGACCTCACGAGTAGAGGGTGAGTGCGTGTGTGGAGGGTGAGTGTCTGGTGGGTGAGAGTGTGTGTATGGTGAGAGTGTGTGTATGGTGAGAGTGTGTGTATGGTGAGAGTGTGTGTATGGTGAGAGTGTGTGTATGGTGAGAGTGTGTGTATGGTGAGAGTGTGTGTATGGTAAGAGTGTGTGTATGGTGAGAGTGTGTGTATGGTGAGAGTGTGTGTATGGTGAGAGTGTGTGTATGGTGAGAGTGTGTGTATGGTGAGAGTGTGTGTATGGTGAGAGTGTGTGTATGGTGAGAGTGTGTGTATGGTGAGAGTGTGTGTATGGTGAGAGTGTGTGTATGGTGAGAGTGTGTGTATGGTGAGAGTGTGTATAGTGAGAGAGTGTGTATGGTGAGAGTGTGTGTATGGTGAGAGTGTGTGTATGGTGAGAGTGTGTGTATGGTGAGAGTGTGTGTATGGTGAGAGTGTGTATGGTGAGAGAGTGTGTATGGTGAGAGTGTGTGTATGGTGAGAGATGCCGTGTGTGAAGTGGTTGAGTGTGTGTGGTGGGTGGGTGGCGAATGGGTGTGTGGTGGATGGTGGGCGTTTTGAGCTGGGTAAGTGTGCTGGGTGTGTGTGTGTGCTGGGTGTGTGTGTGCGGTGGGTGAGTGTGTGGTGGGTGAGTGTGCGGTGGGTGAGTGCAGTGGTGAGAGTAGTCCTTACTAACATACGCTAATCTTTATTGGCTGCGTTCCCCCTTTCCCTCGCTACCACCATGCCTCCCTGCCTTATTCTTACACCCCAGCCTTCCCCAAACCAACCCCATCCCCCCCTCCCTCCTCTCTCTTATTAATGTTTATTTTCACTCATTCCCAACACACATCCCATATCCGTCCCTCCCATCCCTCCTCCCCCTCCTCCCCGCCAGCTTTGTGCTCCACTGGAAGCGCCAGGGGCGGCAGGGTTTGTCTCTAGCAGTGGAGGCGAAGCCCAGCAGTGGGGCCCACAAGGGCTGGTTCGCCCTGGGGTGGTCTAAAACGGGCTCCATGTTCCCTGCTGACGTGGTGGCTGGTAACCTCGCCACGTCAGCATCGCCACCTTCCAAGTCAGCAGCGGCTGTGGCGGCCTATGGGATTACGGGATATGCTGCGAGCGCTGTGAAACCATCAAGCAAGTTTGCGATTGCACCGATTGGGTTCAGCTCAACAGCACGGGGAGCAATCATGAGGTGAGGAGGAGGTGGGAGGAGGAGGTGGGCGGAGGAAGTGGGGGTTAACAAAGTTGAAGCGTGGATTAACTTTCCAGACAACGTTTTTTAGGTGCCTAAAAAAAAGTGGGACGATTTTCAGAGGTCTGGTTGTGTGCCCGACTGTTCCCAACGCCGCCTGCAGCAACACGGTTGGGTCTGTGCATGTGAAGTACAGCAACGGCGTGAACTGACTCATCTGCGCCTTCTCATCCTCTGCTGCTCTTTCTCACGCGTCTGGTTCTGTCCCTAATCGTCCCCAACCGTCCCCAACCGCCCCCAAATCTGCAGGTTTGCTCGCAACAAGACGGACGGCTCTGTGCCTGTGGCGTACAACGGAGTGAACCGACTCATCTGGGCCAATTGTCCCCAACTGTCCCCACGTATCCCTACCTCTCCTTCACTGCTTCCAATACTGCAGGTTTGCTCGCAATGGTACAGATGGGTCAGTGCCCGTGAAGTACAATGGAATGAACAGACTCATCTGGGCCTTCTCCCCTGATGGCTCCAAGACTGTCGGTTACCACAACAAGAACTGGTATGTGCCCCTCCTCCCCCATTCGCCTCCCCGACAGTCACCTCCCCGACAGTCGCCTCCCCTCAACACGAACCGATGGTTTCTCCCTCCCCCCTTCCATCTGCATTGTCACTTTAGCTGACTCAGTGCGGCTGATGTTTTCATTGACCAGTAATTTTCACAACATGCTAGGCTGTCAGGAATTGATTACTTGTGTGGATGGGGACTCGTATGTTGTGGTACACACTGCTTATCGTCTGGTGTTGTGTGTGTGTGTGTGGTGTGTGTGTGTGTGTGTGTGTCTGTAACTGTGAGTGTGTGAGTGTTTGTGTGTGTGTGTGTGTGTGTGTGTTTGTCTGTATCTGTGAGCGTGTGTGTGTGTGTGTGTGTGTGTGTGTCTGTAACTGTGAGTGTGTGAGTGTTTGTGTGTGTGTGTGTGTGTGTTTGTCTGTATCTGTGAGCGTGTGTGTGTGTGTGTGTGTGTGTGTGTGTGTGTGTGTGCACGCGCGTGCTGTGATGTGCAGGGGAACCAAGGCCATTGATCTCACATGCGTTCCCTGCTCCACCGCTCCCAAACAAGCCTGATACAGACCACATATTGTCAAAGCTCCCCTATATACCAAGACCCGCCCTTGTATACACATATCTAACCATGGTGTTCAGAACCCGTCACCCCACAATGACGAACGCCCTATTTGTTCATATGCATTGCCGTCGGTGCTACTGGAGAATCATTGTCGATGCACCAACATCTAACGGAAAACTCTCACGTACCGTACCGTAGCATTTTCCTACAGAACCCGTTAACTTTCAGCAGGATCCCTTGACTTGAACCTATCCATCCACCCAACCTATCTCTATTAACATTCAACTACAGTAAACCCGAAACCCTTTCAGGCAATCATATTCCGTATTTGCCATATTAGTCATGACTTCAATTCATGCAGTCAAATATCTCGAACACAGAAAACTGCATAACTGAAGCTGTATCCCCAGACAACCCATCACTCTCGAGTCGATTCTGTAGTTGTGTTTTGATAGAGGCACCCTAACATCCCCTTCCCACTGTTCCATATAAAACACACGAGTGCAAGGAGGAAGTTTGATCAAACCTTGCAGATCTGTTGTTAAAACAAGAAGAAAAACAACCAGCTGAAATCATCCCAGCAAATAAGCTGGCTGTCTCCAGCCGGCTAATGATAGCAACCAGTACAACCCACATAGCCCCCCCCCCTCCTTCCACACCTGAAGAATCTCTTTCGTCCTTCTAGTCCTTTGCGGGAGGTGCCTGCTCCATCTCCCCCACTTTTGAGCTGACTAGGAGACCTTCTCCCTTCCTAATTGCTTGTGACAGGTGCCTGCTCCACATGATGCAGAGTCTTTTTTGAAAATTCTGAAGAATAGCCAGCTCCACACCCTCCTCCCCCATGGCTTCTGCTTCATCTGGTTGGGCGTTGGGGTCCCAGCTTGGGGGCATGAGGTCAGGCCACTCGCCCCTGCACCCCATTCTCACCCACCCAGCCCCTCATTCCCTCCCACCCACTCTCATGCATGGCATCTTCCTCCAAAGCACTTCACTCCCCTGTGGCTGCTGCTTCTGCTTTGCCTGGTTGGGCGGTGGGGTCCCAGCTTGGTGGCATGAGGTCCGGCCAGTCGCCCCTGCACCCCATTCTCACGTACAGGCTCTTCTTCCCTGCACATGCACATGCATACAAACACATGGACACCCACATACAGATACATTACAAAGATTATACACCCCAAAGCCAAAGTCCTCAGAAGAAGCTATAGCTTGTGCTTTGAAGACCTGAAGATACATTAAAAAAACATACTGCTTTGTGAGAAAAACTCTTCCCTGCCTGCTGCTCACCTGGCCGCTGTTGACCCATGTCCAATGCCATCTTGACAGCTGGCATTGCCGGCAAGTGAATGCCTGACCCTTAGACAGCTTTGCGAAGTTTTAGGAATAGAAGTGGCTTCTAATCGCAAGCATTCAATCACCCTTCACACTCCCGCCCTTCACACTCCCGCCCTTCACACTCCCGCCCTTCACACTCCCGCCCTTCACACTCCCGCCCTTCACACTCCCGCCCTTCACACTCCCGCCCTCTCCTAGAGCTCAGGAGAGGGCAGGAATGTTCGACGCTGCTGTGAGCATTGGAAGACCTCACCTAGGATAGCAGGCACCTTATCCCCCTCCCCCCTCTTGCCCTCTCACCCGGTAGCTGCTTTGACAGCTGTCAGCATCTGAAGAGTTGACCCTGGCCCTCGGAGATTAAGCACGTTACAAACCTCTCACCCTCCCGCCCTCTTCACTCACCCTCCCGCCCTCTTCACTCACCCGGTAGTTGGGGATCCGCGTCCAATGACGCCTTGACAGCTGTCAGCATCTGAAGACCTAAACCCAGGAAATAAGCTAAGCGGAGCACGCTACACCCTTACCCCTCCCACCCCTCTCACCTGGTAGTTGGGGATCGGCGTCCAATGCTGCTTTGACAACGGTCAGCATCTAAAGAGTTGACTCAAGATGTTACCCACATTACGAACTTTACCCCTCCCGCCCTCTTCACTCACCTGGTAGTTGCGGATCCGCGTCCAACGCCGCATTGACAGCTGTCAGCATCTGAAGCGCTGAACCCAGGATCCCAGATGTTAAGCACGTTACCACCCTTCCCCCTCTCGCCCTCTCACTCACCCGGCAGCTGGGGATCCGCGTCCAATGCCGCTTTGACAGCTGTCAGCGCCTGAAGAGTTGACCCCAGACATTAGGCACATTACTACCCTCCTCCCTCCCTCCCCCCTTCTCACTCACCCGGTAGCTGTGGATCCGCGTCCAATGCCGCCTTGACAGCTGTCAGCGCCCCCTCCGCCGCTGCCCGTGCCACGTCAGCGCTGACCGCGTCGTCCGTGCTCCAGCCAGCTGGCAGGTGCAGTCGGATTGCCACGTCAGCTCTGTCCGCGAAATGAGGGTCCGGAGGGCTGTCAGAGTCACCTGGGGAGAAAGAGGCGCCGAGATTTAAAAAGGTTGGGAGGGATGGGGAGGTGGAGAGGTGGGTTGAAGGAGTTTGGGGGGGCATGAGGAGAGGAAGGAGGGGGAGAGGTTGGGGGGTGTTAAGAACAAAGGTGGGACGAACTGAGCTGCCCACCTGTCACTCTCCGGTGGAAACCAGGTCTGTTGGTACAGCGCTGGCCATGCTGTCATGTCATGGATACAACATTGCCTGCTACCGAGAAGCTGAAAGATTCTCTCTCTCACACCGATGCAGTGCGACCCCGAAGCCTCTATGTGACCACTCGACCAACACATACGTGTCACAACACTTGACCACTTATGCCCACCCACCCACTTCCCCCCCAACCACCTCTGACGCCCAGCCAGAGCGCTGCCATCAGCTGTCTGCCTGAAGCAACGCCCCCCCTTCCAGGCGACCAGTGCTAGCGCCACCAAATAATCCTTCCCTCTCAACCCCAACCACCTTTCCCATTCCCCCCCCACCCACCTTTGACGTCCAGCCAGAGGTCTATCCCTCCGTGGATGAACCGCCAGCTGTCAGCCCTCAACAATTCATCAAGCACTCATGCTCAAATGCCTCCCCCCTTGCCCACACCTCCCCTTATCTCCCCCCACCTTCCACGTCCAGCCACAGCGCTATCCCTCCGTGGATGAACCGCCAGCTGTCAGCCTGAGAAAAATGATTCCCCCCTCCCCCAGGCAAACAGTGCTAGTGCCACCAAGCACTCATGCCCATCCCCCTCCCAAACCACCTTTCCGACCCCTCCCCCTGCCCACCTTTCACGTCCAGCCACAGGGCAATCCCTCCGTGGATGAACCGCCAGCTGTCAGCCTGCAGAGACGCCCCATAGGGCTGGCCTATCGTGGCCACCACCACTCGGAGATTGCTGTGGGGAAAAGGATTTTGCAGGGGGGATGGTGATAGGGTCGCGGAGAGGGGGTTAGGGGTTAGGTGCGAGCCTGCAGAGACGCCCCATAGGGCTGGCCCATGGTGGCCACCACCACTCGGAGATTGCTGCGAGGGAAGCGGGTCAGGGGTTCATCATGGCATGCAGCACACAGAGAGTGGTGTGCATACAGTGAAAGGAGGTGTGCATACAGTGAAAGGAGGTGTGCATACTGTGAAAGGAGGTGTGCATACTGTGAAAGGAGGTGTGCATACTGTGAAAGGAGGTGTGCATACTGTGAAAGGAGGTGTGCATACTGTGAAAGGAGGTGTGCATACTGTGAAAGGAGGTGTGCATACTGTGAAAGGAGGTGTGCATACTGTGAAAGGAGGTGTGCATACTGTGAAAGGAGGTGTGCATACTGTGAAAGGAGGTGTGCATACTGTGAAAGGAGGTGTGCATACTGTGAAAGGAGGTGTGCATACTGTGAAAGGAGGTGTGCATACTGTGAAAGGAGGTGTGCATACTGTGAAAGGAGGTGTGCATACTGTGAAAGGAGGTGTGCATACTGTGAAAGGAGGTGTGCATACTGTGAAAGGAGGTGTGCATACTGTGAAAGGAGGTGTGCATACTGTGAAAGGAGGTGTGCATACTGTGAAAGGAGGTGTGCATACTGTGAAAGGAGGTGTGCATACTGTGAAAGGAGGTGTGCATACTGTGAAAGGAGGTGTGCATACTGTGAAAGGAGGTGTGCCTACAGTGAAAGGAGGTGTGCCTACAGTGAAAGGAGGTGTGCCTACAGTGAAAGGAGGTGTGCCTACAGTGGAAGGAGGTGTGCCGAGATGGAGAGGTGCACTCAGGCAGGTTGCTTACTTGATTGACGCTAGAGTCTTCTAAAAAGGGCGGAAATTGTTGGTGCAACCCTACGGTTTGCACTCGGCTTGTTGTCCGTGTGCGTGAATGTGTGTGTGTATGGAATGGTATGAGGGCATGGGATAATATATATTTCATGCTTATAATTGTGTGTGAATGTTGAGTCATGATGTCGAGTGTGTGTGTCGAGTCAATAGCGAGTTATCGCTAGACGCGTGTTACGCGGTCGTTTGTGTCTCGCGCGCGGTTTCTATTTTGTCGTGCGCGGTTTCTATTTTGTCCTGTGTTGAACGTTCGGTGTGTCGCAGGTGTGTGCAGCAGACCCATCAAGAACTCAAGGATGAGTTTGTGATGAAGAGCCCGAGCCTTGGTGTCAAGCCTCAAGTGATTTCGAAGCTCGCCAAAAGGGTACACCTCAAGATATTGAAGATAGTTACATTACTTTGTGTAGTGTAACATTTCACTTGGTGTAGGCCCTAGTGAAGGGTAGTTTCGAGACCCTTCGTGGTTGGGGACAGTGTAGCACTGTTCCACATCACTGTACCTCGGCCCTTGGGGTTTGTAGGAGCTGGGAGTCATTCCCAACTCGTAACTCTTCCTATCTTGTGTTCTAAGACTATAGTGGCTGCCATAGTACCGTTCGTTCAAACCGACGCTGTGTCGTCAATTCTTTATCAAATCGTGCAATCTAAATTGATAATTGTAGACGACGTGAAGACGCTCCAGATCCAATTTGAATCAAGTCATTTGCAGCTGTGAGCAGAACGCTATCAACGTTTGAAGCCGCTGTGCAGAAATCCGTCTGTGCTCTCTATCTTTCGTTTTAGGCACATTCAAGCCTATTGTGACTATAACAAGTGGTATCAGAGCCCCTTGGAGCAGTTTCGACAATGTCTGGACCTGAGGAAAGGGGTGGCAGAGGTGCTGGTGGCAGTGGAGAAGCTCAAGCTCAAGGCCAACCCCGTGATTCAGCCATGGCGCCCATGCAACCAAGTCTTGGCCCACCTAGGGATGAGCCTAGGGTGTTTGGGCTTGACAAGTTCAACGGTGACAACTTTGCTGAATGGTCCTTCAAGATGGAGAACATCTTTGACCACTATGACCTGCTGGAGGTGATGGAAGGAACGGAGAAGCGCCCCGAGAACGACCCGGAGAAGAGCCCGTGGGTGCGGAAGAGCGCACAAGGCTATCTCTTACTTGGGCAAGCGTTGGGGAGCAGTCAGATCCGTCACATCAAGCCATTCCAGCGTGAACCAGAGAAAGGACCAAAGGCATGGGCTGCTCTCAAGGGTGTACATGCTCCTGCAACAGCGGCGGTAGCGGTGGTGTTGGAACGGCAAATGGCGGCACTACGAATTGAAGAAGACGAAGCGGTTGAAGAAGGGGTGCAGAAATTCTTCGACTTGTTGACGCGGCTTGAGGGAGCTGATTTGAACTACAGTGAGCTCCAAAAGAAGACCAAGTTGCTGGCCTTACTCCCAGAGTCATGGTCCTCGCTCATCATCAACCTTAATCGCGACTTGCCCCGCCTCTCGCTTGAAGACGTGAAGCGAGCTATCCTTCAAGAGGATTTCCGCCGCCGTGAGTTGGCGAGTGCGGATGGCGCTGGGGCAGCGAGCATCGGCCGTAGATATGGTCGAGGAAGAGGCAGAGGACGAGGGGGAGGAAGGTTTGGTGGCAGCAACTTCGGCGGAGGCCGCAGGAGTGGCGGTTACGGCAGCGACGACAAGAGCTACGGACGCGGTCGCGGCCGATTCGACGGCGAGTGTCACTATTGCCACAAGAGCGGACACATGTGGCGCGACTGCTACAAACTCCCTGATGGTTGGACCCCTGCTCAAGGCCAAGAGGGTAGAGGAGCAGGAGGAGGGAGAGGACGAGGCCGTGGAGGCCGTGGCGGTCGCGGTGGCGGAGCTGCAAACATGAAGAGCGGAGACAACGACAAGGACCCGAGCGACGATCGATACCCGGGTCTATTCTACTTCGTGTCGACGCAAGTACCGGCTGGTCCAGAGAAGGATGAAGGCTTTGAGGAGCCAGCAGCTGTGGGGAAGGTGACCCTACACCCCCTGGACTATTGGGTGATTGATAGTGGCGCTACCTATAGCATGACACCTCGCCCGGACTTGCTCACCGAACTCGAGCCGTCACCGGTGAAGCATGTCACATCGGCTTTGGGGCAGCGAACAGAGGTGAAAGGCATGGGCAAGGCCATGTTCAAGGGTGCTGATGGGAAGATGGTGGGCCTCAAGAACGTGCTTTGGGTGCCCAGCCTTGCTGCAAACCTGATTTCCGTGCGGCGGTTGGCAAAGGCCGGCATGGACACGAACTCGAAGGGAGCCAAGACCTACACCGCAAGGCTTGGCGATCGAATTCTTTGGGACCTTCATGAGGACAGGGATGTCTACAACGAGATGTGGCAGATCCCAGTGGTCCCTATGCCTAAGGAGAGGCAAGTGGCAGCAAGCATCAGCACCAAGGATGGAGCGGTCGGTAGCGACGATGGCGCGAACGGTCGCGCTAAGGAGAATGAGCTCAAGAAGAGCAAACCTGGAGGGACCAGCAAGTTCAGTGAACCTAAGGAGAGTGGTGCAGCAACCAAGGAGCAGCAAAAGGGTGAGGAGAATCCAGAGGCAGCAGCGGAGGAGGACTACGGAGAGAGTATGTGGGGCGCTATTGCGAGCGCGGCATTCTCCAATCCAACTTCGGCTACGGGGGAGTGTGATTGGCTCACCTTGCATCGGCGCATGGGGCATGTGGCCCTGCCCATCTTGCAGCAGCTAGTGAAGAATGAGATGGTTGCTGGCATACGTGTGAAGGGGGAGCCCGATGAGGTGCTTGGCTGCCCGACGTGCATTCAAGCCAAGTTCACCCGGTTTCCGTTCCCTAGTTCGGAGGCAACGGCAAAGGCACCGCTTGATGAGGTGGTGATGGACGTGGTGGGCCCCCCTGAAGCTTGGAGCTGCTGGAGCTGAGTATTTTCTCACCATTGTCGACGTCTACACCCGCATGACTTGGGTGTACGTGCTGGCCAAGAAGAGCGACGTGGCTGAAACGTTGAAGACGGATTGGTTCCCGACGGTGGAGCGGCAACAAGACCGTCTAGTCAAGTCAATCCGCACCGATCGAGGGGGAGAGTTCCTGAGCAAGGAGTTTGGGTTGTGGCTGAAGAAGAATGGTATTCGGCACTCCCTCACCATGCCATACTCCCCTGCAATGAACGGCATCGCCGAGCGAGCGAACCGCACAATCACGGAGGCGGCACGCGGGTTGCTCATTGAAGCCGGGCTACCCGACTATTTCTGGCCTGATGCGGTGCGGAGCGCGTGTGTGGCCAAGAACAGAGCCTTGACTCATGTGGGAGCAGACAAATGGGTGCCCTATGTGGAGTGGCTAGGAAGGAAGCCAAAGGTGGATATGCTTCGGGTGTTCGGGTGCATGTGCATGGCGCTCGTGCCTAAGCATCTTCGGCACAACAAGCTTGGTGCCAAGGCGGTGTGGGCCGTGCACTTGGGCATGGCTCAAAACAGCAAGGGATGGCTTCTTTGGGACCCATTCACCAAGAAGTTCTTGGTGAGCAGGGACTGCAAGTTCATGGAGAACTTCATGTACAAGGATTGGAAGGCGGAGAATGAGGCGAAGATAGGCGTGCGGTTTGGGGAGGTGAAGAGTTCCGGTTTGGAGCATGTGGAGCTGCCTTTGGAGCTGAGCAGCGGCAGCACAACCACAAGGCAATCCTCCCTTGTGAATGGGGGAGAGGAGGCCAATGATGCAGAGGAAGAAGAGGAGGAGGTGCAGCAAGTGAGCGAGCGTGCGCCGTCACTCCCTTCCCGTACTACGAGTGCTCCACGGATTCGAGCCACACCGCAGCAACGCCAAGGCCTTCAAGTCCCTGCAGCTGAGGAGGAAGGAAGGGGGAAGAGGAGAGTTCAACCCCCTAATAGGCTGACCTATGATGCGCCGGGAAAGCAGGGCAAGACAGCCCTGGCCGGAGCGGCAATGATGGTCGGAGACGACGAGGAGAGTGACTACGAGGAGTGTGCCTTCGCGTTCTTCTCTCCGGTGGAGATGCCGGGAGAACCAGCAACTCTCAAGGAGGCTTTGGAGAGTAGTGATGCTGAGGAGTGGAAAAAGGCCATGGAGAGTGAGCTGAAGAGCATTGAGGAGAATGACACGTTTGAATTGGTGGAGCTACCGGAGGGGCGTACGGCGATAACGTCCAAGTGGCTCTTCAAAATCAAGTCGGATGCCGACGGCAAGATCGAGCGCTACAAGTCTAGGCTTGTAGCCAAGGGGTACCAGCAGAAGGAGAAGGTGGACTTCAAGGAGCTGTTTGCCCCTGTGGTGAAGCCGACGACGCTGCGAACCCTATTCGCGGGAGCCGCCATCAAAGGATGGGTAGTAAAGCAAATGGACATCGTAACGGCATTCCTTAACGGCATCCTTGAGGAGGAGATTTTTATGGCGCAGCCAGAGGGGTTTGATGATGGTAGTGGCAGAGTGTGGAAGCTGAAGAAGGCCTTCTATGGGCTGAAGCAGGCCCCTAGGCAATGGTACATGAAGCTGCGCGAAGTGTTGGAGGGGATCGGCTTCACTCCCTCAACGGCCGATCACTCCTTGTTCATGCTTGGCGAGGGGGAGCAGAGGAGTTTCATGGTGGTTTATGTGGATGACATCCTCATTTTCTCACCCTCTTCTGACCTTGTGAAGGAGGTGATGCTGAAGCTTCAAGACAAGTTCAAGTGCAAGGCCCTTGGTGACGTGAGCTTCTACCTTGGGCTCCACATCGAACGAGATGTGGAGAAGCGGTGCATGCGGGTGCATCAACGAAAGTACCTGGAGGCATTGGCTGCCAACTTTGGGCAGAGTGAAGGCCATGTGGCTACACCCTTTCCCTCTGGGTTCAAGTGTGTGAAGGGACCAGAGGAGGAGAGCGTTGGTGAAGAGGAGAGGCGCCGATTTCACTCGTTGGTGGGCAACCTCATGTATGCGGCGGTAAACACCCGGCCGGACGTCGCGTTTGCTACCGGGCAGCTGGCTAGGGTTGTGCAATGCCCTAATGAGGAGCAGGTAGCAGCTGGAATGAGGGTGGCCAAGTATCTTGACCAAACACCGACCGTTGGGCTGCAATACTCGGCGGCGGCACAAAGGCGCCAAAAGGGCGCGGATGGTGTTGAACCCGGGCGTTTGTTCCTCACCGCCTACTCGGATGCTTCATATGCATCAGAACCAGAGGACATGACAAGTGTGGGAGGCTTCATATGCTGTATTGGTGGAGGCCCAACTGCTTGGGAGAGCAAGAAGCAGGTTGACCAAGCTTTGAGTTTGGTGGAGTCCGAGTACATGGCACTCTTCCGTGCCGTACGGGAGATTGTGTGGCAGCGGCGTTTGTTGGCTGAATTGGGGGAGGAGCAGCAAGGACCTACCCCACTGTACTGTGACAGCCAGGGTGCCATTGCTCTTGCTAAGAACCCTGTGTTGCATGGACTCACGAAGCACATGAGGGTGAAGTGGCATTGGACGAGGAGCATGGTAACCGCGGGTGAAGTTGAGTTGCGCTACGTGAAGACCACGGGGCAGCCGGCTGACATGATGACCAAGAGGCTGGTGGAGCAGCAGCATTGGAAGTGTTGCAAGCTGGCTGGGATGGCTCTGAACTGAGAGAGCAACATATCCTAAGGCCAACAATCCGAGGGGGAGTTTGTTGGTGCAACCCTACGGTTTGCACTCGGCTTGTTGTCCGTGTGCGTGAATGTGTGTGTGTATGGAATGGTATGAGGGCATGGGATAATATATATTTCATGCTTATAATTGTGTGTGAATGTTGAGTCATGATGTCGAGTGTGTGTGTCGAGTCAATAGCGAGTTATCGCTAGACGCGTGTTACGCGGTCGTTTGTGTCTCGCGCGCGGTTTCTATTTTGTCGTGCGCGGTTTCTATTTTGTCCTGTGTTGAACGTTCGGCGTGTCGCAGGTGTGTGCAGCAGACCCATCAAGAACTCAAGGATGAGTTTGTGATGAAGAGCCCGAGCCTTGGTGTCAAGCCTCAAGTGATTTCGAAGCTCGCCAAAAGGGTACACCTCAAGATATTGAAGATAGTTACATTACTTTGTGTAGTGTAACATTTCACTTGGTGTAGGCCCTAGTGAAGGGTAGTTTCGAGACCCTTCGTGGTTGGGGACAGTGTGGCACTGTTCCACATCACTGTACCTCGGCCCTCGGGGTTTGTAGGAGCTGGGAGTCATTCCCAACTCGTAACTCTTCCTATCTTGTGTTCTAAGACTATAGTGGCTGCCATAGTACCGTTCGTTCAAACCGACGCTGTGTCGTCAATTCTTTATCAAATCGTGCAATCTAAATTGATAATTGTAGACGACGTGAAGACGCTCCAGATCCAATTTGAATCAAGTCATTTGCAGCTGTGAGCAGAACGCTATCAACGTTTGAAGCCGCTGTGCAGAAATCCGTCTGTGCTCTCTATCTTTCGTTTTAGGCACATTCAAGCCTATTGTGACTATAACAGAAATGAGGTGGGCAAGGAGAGGCGGGCTCAGGCACATTACGTATATGAGGACAGGAAAAGGGGGAGGGTTGAAGGAAGGGAGGGAGGGAATGCGGAAGGAAGGGAGGGAGGGAATGCGGAAGGAAGGGAGGGAGGGAATGCGGAAGGAAGGGAGGGAGGGAATGCGGAAGGAAGGGAGGGAGGGAATGCGGAAGGAAGGGTACGTACGAGGAGAGGTGATCCAAAAGGGCTGTCTCTGCTTGAGTCACTGAGTCCGCCCCCTCCTCCTTTGCCACTGCCCATGTGGAGAGCATTCAAAGAAAGGGGGGTGGGGGCAGGGGGCGGGATGGGATAAGGACTTGGAGACCATGTGGGTAAGAAGGAGGGAACGGATGGGATATGGAAAAGGGGAGCACGTAAAAATAATATTATTCAGGCACCTCAAATGAACTCAAAATTACACGCCTCTTGAAAAGAAAAGAGAGTCGTCTTTGCTTGAGTCACTGAGTTCGGCCCGTCTTCCTTTGAGTGGGATTGCAGGGTGTTTTTCAGAATTCCCAAAAACACCCTGAAACTCAGAAAAGGGCGCCTTTTGAATAGAATAGAGCCGTCTCTGCGTGCGCCACTGAGTCCGGCTCCTCTTGCTTTGCCGCTTGCAACGGTCGGCACTTCCATGCGGTGCGGTGGCCACTTTTGAGAACTCTCAAAAGCGACTCAGATGCAGATGCCATTACATGGGGCAGAAGCAGCTGGATGAAAGGAAAACGAAGTAGGTTTGCCATGGTGCCATGGTGCCATGTACAGACGGCCTTGGGTCTTCACTCATGTACAGTGCAAACAGGGTTACAGGGTAACACACCTTCTTCAATGGTGGCACTCGCTAGTTGCTCCACCAGTTGCTGCGTCATGATTGGTGCATAGCTGGCATGTAATCACGATGGGCGCATGATAGGTTCCATAGGAAACAACATGAAGACAAGAGAATACAAGAGATATGGCATGCATGGGTGCATAGCTGGCATGCGCATGATAGGTTCCATAGGAAACAACATGAATACAAGAGAATACAAGAGATATGGCATGCATGGGTGCATAGCTGGCATGCGCATGATAGGTTCCATAGGAAACAACATGAATACAAGAGAATACAAGAGATATGGCATGCATGGGTGCATAGCTGGCATGCGCATGATAGGTTCCATAGGAAACAACATGAATACAAGAGAATACAAGAGATATGGCATGCATGGGTGCATAGCTGGCATGCGCATGATAGGTTCCATAGGAAACAACATGAATACAAGAGAATACAAGAGATATGGCGTGCATGGGTGCATAGCTGGCATGCGCATGATAGGTTCCATAGGAAACAACATGAATACAAGAGAATACAAGAGATATGGCATGCATGGGTGCATAGCTGGCATGCGCATGATAGGTTCCATAGGAAACAACATGAATACAAGAGAATACAAGAGATATGGCATGCATGGGTGCATAGCTGGCATGCGCATGATAGGTTCCATAGGAAACAACATGAATACAAGAGAATACAAGAGATATGGCATGCATGGGTGCAGAGCTGGCATGCGCATGATAGGTTCCATAGGAAACAACATGAATACAAGAGAATACAAGAGATATGGCATGCATGGGTGCATAGCTGGCATGCGCATGATAGGTTCCATAGGAAACAACATGAATACAAGAGAATACAAGAGATATGGCATGCATGGGTGCATAGCTGGCATGCGCATGATAGGTTCCATAGGAAACAACATGAATACAAGAGAATACAAGAGATATGGCATGCATGGGTGCATAGCTGGCATGCGCATGATAGGTTCCATAGGAAACAACATGAATACAAGAGAATACAAGAGATATGGCATGCATGGGTGCATAGCTGGCATGCGCATGATAGGTTCCATAGGAAACAACATGAATACAAGAGAATACAAGAGATATGGCATGCATGGGTGCATAGCTGGCATGCGCATGATAGGTTCCATAGGAAACAACATGAATACAAGAGAATACAAGAGATATGGCATGCATGGGTGCATAGCTGGCATGCGCATGATAGGTTCCATAGGAAACAACATGAATACAAGAGAATACAAGAGATATGGCATGCATGGGTGCATAGCTGGCATGCGCATGATAGGTTCCATAGGAAACAACATGAATACAAGAGAATACAAGAGATATGGCATGCATGGGTGCATAGCTGGCATGCGCATGATAGGTTCCATAGGAAACAACATGAATAAAAGAGAATACAAGAGATATGGCATGCATGGGTGCATAGCTGGCATGCGCATGATAGGTTCCATAGGAAACAACATGAATACAAGAGAATACAAGAGATATGGCATGCATGGGTGCATAGCTGGCATGCGCATGATAGGTTCCATAGGAAACAACATGAATACAAGAGAATACAAGAGATATGGCATGCATGGGTGCATAGCTGGCATGCGCATGATAGGTTCCATAGGAAACAACATGAATACAAGAGAATACAAGAGATATGGCATGCATGGGTGCATAGCTGGCATGCGCATGATAGGTTCCATAGGAAACAACATGAATACAAGAGAATACAAGAGATATGGCATGCATGGGTGCATAGCTGGCATGCGCATGATAGGTTCCATAGGAAACAACATGAATACAAGAGAATACAAGAGATATGGCATGCATGGGTGCATAGCTGGCATGCGCATGATAGGTTCCATAGGAAACAACATGAATACAAGAGAATACAAGAGATATGGCATGCATGGGTGCATAGCTGGCATGCGCATGATAGGTTCCATAGGAAACAACATGAATACAAGAGAATACAAGAGATATGGCATGCATGGGTGCATAGCTGGCATGCGCATGATAGGTTCCATAGGAAACAACATGAATACAAGAGAATACAAGAGATATGGCATGCATGGGTGCATAGCTGGCATGCGCATGATAGGTTCCATAGGAAACAACATGAATACAAGAGAATACAAGAGATATGGCATGCATGGGTGCATAGCTGGCATGCGCATGATAGGTTCCATAGGAAACAACATGAATACAAGAGAATACAAGAGATATGGCATGCATGGGTGCATAGCTGGCATGCGCATGATAGGTTCCATAGGAAACAACATGAATACAAGAGAATACAAGAGATATGGCATGCATGGGTGCATAGCTGGCATGCGCATGATAGGTTCCATAGGAAACAACATGAATACAAGAGAATACAAGAGATATGGCATGCATGGGTGCATAGCTGGCATGCGCATGATAGGTTCCATAGGAAACAACATGAATACAAGAGAATACAAGAGATATGGCATGCATGGGTGCATAGCTGGCATGCGCATGATAGGTTCCATAGGAAACAACATGAATACAAGAGAATACAAGAGATATGGCATGCATGGGTGCATAGCTGGCATGCGCATGATAGGTTCCATAGGAAACAACATGAATACAAGAGAATACAAGAGATATGGCATGCATGGGTGCATAGCTGGCATGCGCATGATAGGTTCCATAGGAAACAGCATGAATACAAGAGAATACAAGAGATATGGCATGCATGGGTGCATAGCTGGCATGCGCATGATAGGTTCCATAGGAAACAGCATGAATACAAGAGAATACAAGAGATATGGCATGCATGGGTGCATAGCTGGCATGCGCATGATAGGTTCCATAGGAAACAGCATGAATACAAGAGAATACAAGAGATATGGCATGCATGGGTGCATAGCTGGCATGCGCATGATAGGTTCCATAGGAAACAGCATGAATACAAGAGAATACAAGAGATATGGCATGCATGGGTGCATAGCTGGCATGCGCATGATAGGTTCCATAGGAAACAACATGAATACAAGAGAATACAAGAGATATGGCATGCATGGGTGCATAGCTGGCATGCACATGATAGGTTCCATAGGAAACAGCATGAATACAAGAGAATACAAGAGATATGGCATGCATGGGTGCATAGCTGGCATGCGCATGATAGGTTCCATAGGAAACAGCATGAATACAAGAGAATACAAGAGATATGGCATGCATGGGTGCATAGCTGGCATGCGCATGATAGGTTCCATAGGAAACAACATGAATACAAGAGAATACAAGAGATATGGCATGCATGGGTGCATAGCTGGCATGCGCATGATAGGTTCCATAGGAAACAGCATGAATACAAGAGATATGGCATGCATGGGTGCATAGCTGGCATGCGCATGATAGGTTCCATAGGAAACAACATGAATACAAGAGATATGGCATGCATGGGTGCATAGCTGGCATGCGCATGATAGGTTCCATAGGAAACAACATGAATACAAGAGATATGGCATGCATGGGTGCATAGCTGGCATGCGCATGATAGGTTCCATAGGAAACAACATGAATACAAGAGATATGGCATGCATGGGTGCATAGCTGGCATGCGCATGATAGGTTCCATAGGAAACAACATGAATACAAGAGATATGGCATGCATGGGTGCATAGCTGGCATGCGCATGATAGGTTCCATAGGAAACAACATGAATACAAGAGATATGGCATGCATGGGTGCATAGCTGGCATGCGCATGATAGGTTCCATAGGAAACAACATGAATACAAGAGATATGGCATGCATGGGTGCATAGCTGGCATGCGCATGATAGGTTCCATAGGAAACAACATGAATACAAGAGATATGGCATGCATGGGTGCATAGCTGGCATGCGCATGATAGGTTCCATAGGAAACAACATGAATACAAGAGATATGGCATGCATGGGTGCATAGCTGGCATGCGCATGATAGGTTCCATAGGAAACAACATGAATACAAGAGATATGGCATGCATGGGTGCATAGCTGGCATGCGCATGATAGGTTCCATAGGAAACAACATGAATACAAGAGATATGGCATGCATGGGTGCATAGCTGGCATGCGCATGATAGGTTCCATAGGAAACAACATGAATACAAGAGATATGGCATGCATGGGTGCATAGCTGGCATGCGCATGATAGGTTCCATAGGAAACAACATGAATACAAGAGATATGGCATGCATGGGTGCATAGCTGGCATGCGCATGATAGGTTCCATAGGAAACAACATGAATACAAGAGATATGGCATGCATGGGTGCATAGCTGGCATGCGCATGATAGGTTCCATAGGAAACAACATGAATACAAGAGATATGGCATGCATGGGTGCATAGCTGGCATGCGCATGATAGGTTCCATAGGAAACAACATGAATACAAGAGATATGGCATGCATGGGTGCATAGCTGGCATGCGCATGATAGGTTCCATAGGAAACAACATGAATACAAGAGATATGGCATGCATGGGTGCATAGCTGGCATGCGCATGATAGGTTCCATAGGAAACAACATGAATACAAGAGATATGGCATGCATGGGTGCATAGCTGGCATGCGCATGATAGGTTCCATAGGAAACAACATGAATACAAGAGATATGGCATGCATGGGTGCATAGCTGGCATGCGCATGATAGGTTCCATAGGAAACAACATGAATACAAGAGATATGGCATGCATGGGTGCATAGCTGGCATGCGCATGATAGGTTCCATAGGAAACAACATGAATACAAGAGATATGGCATGCATGGGTGCATAGCTGGCATGCGCATGATAGGTTCCATAGGAAACAACATGAATACAAGAGATATGGCATGCATGGGTGCATAGCTGGCATGCGCATGATAGGTTCCATAGGAAACAACATGAATACAAGAGATATGGCATGCATGGGTGCATAGCTGGCATGCGCATGATAGGTTCCATAGGAAACAACATGAATACAAGAGATATGGCATGCATGGGTGCATAGCTGGCATGCGCATGATAGGTTCCATAGGAAACAACATGAATAC